ATTCTGATGCCCTTTCCTGGCTCCACCCACAGCCCACTCTTCACCCATGCCAGTCACACAGACACAGGAGGACTGGAGAGAATGACCCTGTGCTACAGTAGCTGTGCATTTGTACGAGAAAAGAATGAATAATTCACTGTGAATAATTTATTAAACAAATATAGGCTATTTTTCTGGTCATGAAACAACCAAAAGAAGATTGAAACCTCTTCACATTTTTTGCTTCTTGAAATTACTCAGATTATTTTGTGAGGGTTTTTTTTTCCAGTTATTTGTTTTCTTTATGGATGGCTGAATCACTACCAATTCACTGTGAATATGACACTCAGGAGTTGAAATCAGAGCTGTGTTGGTTAGCCGTGATTGGTCACATACATTGTTATTGTTATTATTAGGAATGTTGAAAATATTCAAACATGTTGTAAGTAGTCCATTTATAAATTTGGATCCTTGGCCAATTCATCTTTGTGAAGGTTAAAACAAACTTAAATTATCTGGTCAACTGGACCAATAAAAACCATAACCAATTATTTTGTTTCATAATGTGTAATACACATTAATGACTTGTAAAGCAAGTCAGCAAACTGCACTTAAAAAGACTGCAAAAATCAAGCAGGACAATGCTGCAAGGCTCAGATCAAACCAAAAATGAATAATCTTTTTTACATTTTTGAAGATACAAGTATGAAAGGCGATTCCCAATACAGTATTCTATTCACTTATTCATATCATAGTCACACACTACATAATGCATGAAATTTGCAGTGTCTTATCTCAGACTCTTGTAGCACGTCAGCTTCATATTGCATTAGAAATTTTTCAGTCATGTTTATAACTGTACGATAAAATGTAATAGGAATACAAGCTTTCTTTTTTTTCCCCTTCACATGAATCAGTGTAAGAAATGAATCTGAAAGACTGAAAAAATTGAATTCCATACCTTTGGAAAGAAGTATTTGGAAGAAAGAATTCACCATTGATCTAAATTCTTGGGTCATCTCGGGATTCTCAAATCACATAGCCAAACATAGCTGACTAGAAGGTGGCGCTTATTTTCCAGCCCCTCCGCAAGCCCACTGGTACACATGCACTAAAAGGGTAAGCAATTCTATTCATACATATTGCAATATTGGCCCCCATTAAGGCTATGTCTACACTACGAACGAAGGGTGTGATTCCTCTGTTTGTGTATACTTTTGTACTAGCTCTCATTCAGCTAGCGCAAATATAAATAGCAGTGTAGCCTCAGGAGCATGGGTAGCCAGGTTCAGCGTGGCCATGCAGAGTACACACCCACCGGTTTCAGGTGGGTTTATACTCGGCACAGCTAAGCTGTGCCTCTGCTGCAGCTACCCAAGATACCGTGGTGACACTATTTATACTCATGCTAGCTCTCATTCAGCTAGCGCAGGTATGTGTACACAAGCAGGGGAACCATACCCTTACCTCGTAATGTAGATGTAGCCTAAAATAGTTTTCATCCAAACCACCGGGTTCAGACTTTGTAGAATTTACAACAAAATTGGTCTTTCTGGATATATATACAATTACAATATACACATATATATACACACCCCTCTGATCCTCTCCATGTGATACGTGTTGGACTTATGTAATGAGTTTCAAAAAAGCAAAAACTTGCTAGTTTGTTCCTGAAATCAAGGATCCGAGACCATGTTAACCATGAACAGAGATCTATGGGTGGGCACTCTCTCTGGAGAGTTGCAACAAAGATTTTGTTAGAAAAGTGAATGAAAACAATGTTATTAAAATGAATGCACTGACATTTTCAGAATCTCAGTGTTATTTTTCTTCCAGGTACTAAAAAATATCATGAAAGCAAAATTCAAGTTAATCTTTCAAATAAGAAGTCATATTAGTTCAAATTTAAACTGCCTGCTACTCCTTTGAGGCTAGATTCTCTTATGCTTCTGTTAGTCCCATTAAAGCAAATATATCATCCCACTGAAACTAACAGAACTGCTCATAATGTACTACACAATGGGTGAAATCCTGGCCTCATTAAAATCAACGATAAAACTCCCATTGACTTCAATGGGGCCAGTTTTTTCACTCAGTGATGTTTAATGGTGGGAGAATCTGGCCCTTAATGATTTTTGTGCTTCTACTGAGACCTCTGGACGAGAGACTCATAAAGACATTATAAGGGCTTTGATAGGGCTTTTGCTGCAAAGAGATAGTTTAAACCATCTTTTGGGATACATGCTGTATATTTGTAAGCTGTGCACAACTCCCAAAGGCAATCTTCAAGTGGATAAGGAAATAAATTGGAGGGAAAAATCGATAAAACACAAAAGGTACTAAGGAAAAGAGACAGGCAATAGTAGAATTAACTCCATTTTCTACTCGACATTTCATATGTAAGTGGTAGCAAATTAATGTAGATCATGTTTGCAAAGCTAAAGCAACAATACTGAAAATAACAATTCCCATTTTATACCCATGCCTGGATGCTTCAGGCAGAGCCTCAAACTAAAGGGAAAATATCAGTGATTTTCACTTATTCTGAACACAAGCACTATCGTCCGTGTTCCTTAAGAAGTCTGTCAATGGTGCCAAATTATGAGCCATATCACAGTAAATAATCCCACTGAAGTCAAGGGGCCAGATCCTCAGTGGGGTAAGTCATTTCAGCTCTGTTAAGGCAAGCAGGTTGGACTATGTGACACCCTTTTTACTATTACGCACAGAACTCAGATCAAGCAGCATGATTCACTTAGAAAACCAGGCTAAATAGGAGTCTAGTAGTTGAAAGCCCCAGCTCCTGCTAAGGAGAAATATGTACTCATTGTTACATTTGTGTAAATAAAGAAACCTGGTTAATAAATCCATGAGAAGAAGCAAAGGAAGGAGAGGATTCCTCTTCCTAATAGTGCACCATCTGACATCCAGTTTAAAAACTTGTGTTGCTAATGAGTCAGAACACCAAGTCTCTTCTGGGGAAAGAAAATGACTCATCAACTGGAAACACTAAGGCATAATTTTTCACAGAATCGCACAAAATATACGCAGTCACCTTTCAAATAAAATTTTACATTATTTTATTCCAACTGCCTGAAAATGTCATTTTCCATTAATCCATTGGGAACAGCTCACTTAACCAGTGCAGCAGGAGTGTCAGATTTCCATCTGACTATTTCAGCTTCCAGTATGAACACAGTTATCCATGTCTCAATGTTTCTTCAACCAATCTCCCTCCCTGCCCTCACCCACTCCACCCCCAGTAGGCACAAGCTGACAGCTAAATCCTTCAGTTCAGTCCTTCGACCTTACTCGAGAGCCTTGCCTGAGACATGCCCAAGGACTGCAGGATCGGGACTGCTAACTGCTAACAACTAGGTATATTTGATTGATGGTTTATGCAAAAGAAAATAAAACATTTTAAAATAGTGCTTTATGGAAAATACTGGTTTATAGGTTTAGATTAAATTAAATATAGAGACAATCAAATTGTTATGTATCCTTTAGAGAAATCACTCAAAAAAGGTAACAATACTTGTTGGGACTGAGTTTGCCATTGTTTCCATCTGGAAACCAAGGAAGCCAGATCACAGTCAAGGGATTCCAAAGAGCAAATTACAGTTTCTCTACATTCTAAGCTTATTTGCCATCCATTAATCCAACATTGGAAGGTTTGTGTCAGGCTCAATCTATGGCACAAAACCTTTAGGTCAGTACATCAATATTGATATTTAGCAGGGCAACATCTATATATCTGTCAGTAAACCAATAAACTCTGGGAAGTTAACGTTGAATCCTAACTCAATTTGTTCTGAATAAAAAGGCTCAAGTTTGAATTTTAACTCCTAGTTAAAGAGAGATGTTGTAACATTAGAACTGGAGTTATCACTGAAGAAAAATAATTCTTTCACCTTTACTGGTTTTTCTTTATTTACTCTTATGTTTCCCAACCACACCAGTGTATTTACCCCTAAACGGCTTATTTCTGTAGTAGCTTACTTATCCCGGGGACTCTTTAGAACATAAAAAAAATGTACATATTACAGGAGTTGTCTGTATAACTTTAATGCATTAAATTGCTAAGCACAAACCATAAATAGCAGGAAGTAATGAGTTCAGTAATTCAATATCTCTTCTAGACTTCACTTCCTCTTCTCAACCTCAATTACCATTCTTCCACCACCCTCAGAGGTCATGTATCTCCACCCTCATCTTGTACAACCAGCTGGTACTCTTGAGCTTGGACCACATTTACTGCTTATTGGCCAGATCCTGAACTGGTGTAAATCAATGTTGCTACATAGAAAACCATGTAGCTACTCCAATTTATGCCAACCAAGGATCTGGTTCTATATGTTAAAGTATTACAGTTTACATGGCTTGCATAAATTATGCTTCATATGTGTGTTTTTTATTGGTGTCCATAAGTGTCAGATTGCATGTGATTGCTATATTATGTTTTCTGTAATATTTAGGAAAATGTATGTAAATGAATGATCTGTTAGTGATTGTTCTATGTTTAGTAGTAATCTTTATGTAGACATTCGCGGAACTGTAATCTGAATGTGTTGCATTTATGCTCAGAGTTAAGGCTACACACTGTTTCATAGTTCAGATATATCCATGCTCATCCTGAAGAACCAGAGAGGTCTGGGTCCTGCTTTAAATGCAAATATCAATGCAGATTTAACACTAGCATCGCTAGCGAAGCCTCCATAAAAACAAGGTTTACAAATGCCCATATGATGAGCACTTTAGCTTAAATTAGATGGCTAATAGAATGACAAGACTTCTAAAGAGTACAATTATTTTTTAAAATTTAAAAATGCAAAGCTGTATGAATATAAACTGATATATTCTAGTATTTCTTGCATGATCAGGACTGTCTCTTTTCACCTGACTGGTTCAAAGAAGCTGGGGTGCATCCAAGTGTATATAATATACAGTGTACATAAAATATAACAACACATTTTGGTCATAAATATATGAGACGTTAAACAGAATTTGAGGGGCCTTACCTGCAAAGGTTTTGTAATCCACCAGGTCAAACATTATAATAGCTACTGCTGACCAGGTAACAATCAGAGCAACAACAAGAAGCCATGCTGCTGGCGAGCTGAATGTTGTCATTATGTCCTCTGTAACTGACTTCTTTCCCACTTTCACTGGTGGCGTGAGAACTGATCCATTGTTGTTGTCCATCACTGTGGTGGTGGTTGACATATGTCCTAGTCAAACATTAAAAAAAAAAAAAAAAGAGAGCAAATACATATATTAAGCTAGGTACCTATCAGTCTAAGATAAAGAACATATATGTAGCATCTGGTCTGTTACAGTCGTTATAGCTGTCAAGTTTTCTAACAACATAGGCCCTGATTCAGGAATGCACCTCTATTCAGAACAGTACTTAAACATGTACCTTAGTTTGCTTACATGCTAACCTGAACAGGGATGGAGTTAAATACATTGAATCCAAAAATAGGGCTTGTTTACACAAACATTTAGTTCGCAACAAGCTGAGGGGGTGAATCCAACCTGCACTAGCCTGCCAGACTGTTTGTGTGGATCCTGATGAGCTGATCCTCTTTGAAACAGGACAACATCAAAGCACATTAACTGTTAATGCACATTAGCAGGGCCCACAGGGACAGCTGGTCCATGGCAGGATAGTGCAGGGTAGATTCACAACCAAGCATGCCTCAAACTGATTGTTTAGACAAGCCCCTATATTGCTTTCCTTTTTATAATTAATCACTTAAACATATTCTTAAATCCATACTTATTCAGTACAATATTTAAGCAAGTGGTTAACACTGACTTCAATGGGACTTAAGTCTGTTCTTTCATTTAAGCACTTGCTTTTAACTGGATAAAAATGCCTTCCTGAACTGAGGCCACAATCAAAATAAGTTAGGAGAAAACATATAATAACTACAGAAAAAAAACAACGTATAGCTTCATTGCTCACCACAGGCCACTTGCTGTGACTAGCTACACACCTAAAACAGTGGCTGATGGAAGCATAAAATATTATAATAACCCTCTAAAAGACTGACTTGTTATGGACTGTGATGGGGCGTCTGTCCCACACTGATGGAGAAAGGGTTAAAAGCAGCCCTGGGGAGACTGTGCAGCAATCAGAGAGGGGCTGCAATGAGCAGCCAATCAGGGCAGAGCAGGCCCATATATAAAGAGAGCTGCGGGGAAAAGAAGGGAGTGCCCTCTTGGGAGCCCAGGGAGAAAGGACTGGGTCCCTGAAGGGCTGAGAGAACCACCAGTACCCTGGATAGAGCAGTGCTGGGCTGAGCCAGGGGAGTGAGAGGGAGCTCCAGCCTGACTGGCTGAAAGACTGAAGCCCTGATACAGGGGTGGAGAAGGTGCTAGGGCTGCGGGGAAGTGGCCCAGGGAAAACAGATGGCAGTGGTTGAAGGAGATGCAACACGTGGCTACCGCCTAGAGGGTCCCTGTGTTGGGACCTGGAGTAGTGGGCAGGCCTGGGTTTCCCCCATCCCTCACCCCCACTTGCCACTGAGGGGAGTGGCCAGTGAAGGGCTGCAATTTGCCATTGAGGGGAGTGGCTAGAACTTTGGGCTGCAGTCGGCCACGGAGGCGAGTGGCTGGACAGAGGACTACTGTTCCCCTGGAAAGGGGGGAGAACAGAATGGGGCATGGCTGGAGGGCTGTGTCTTGAAGAGGATGCCACGATCTTTGAGACAACGTGGGTCCAGAACAGAAGTGACAGCGGTCAGACACCACTGGAGGAGGGTGCCCTGTGAAAAGACTGAACTAATTCCCAGAACGACCAGCAGGAGGCACCACAGTGGTGAGTCCCACCCTGTTACATGGACAGTGTGCCAGATCCACAGTAAAACAGCCTACATCCATGGAGCTATGTCAGTTTACACCAGCTGAGTATTAGTTTTGAATTCTGCTGTCAAGGACACATGACAATGAGTGTGTTTATACTCTATTCCATCTCACCAGTCAATAGCAGTAGAAATGTTCTATAGCTGTGCCATGTCTTTTCTATACAATGTCATTACAATTTGTGAAGAGTCATATTTTTGTAAACAAATTTTTTTTGAGCATTTTCACTTTCATGAGATGGCCTTCTAAAAGCCAGTCTTTTCTCCCAAGAGTTGCAGTGTCAAATGGGCTTAACACTGAAAGCTAAAGACTCTTTAGTAGAAAACAAAGAGCAAGATGAACGCCTATGTCAATTCCCATTCAGCAGATATCACCTGTTTACTGGTGAATAACTGCATTTTTAAATACAAACTATTTAACTTACTTCCCTGTGGCTGTTAAGAACATCTTACACTGCACACAGCTCAAAACAGCTTTTAGAAGCTTACAGTTTCATTATATCATGTTTCAAATTGCTGAAATTTAAAACTTGAAAATTTCTGAGAAATTCTTGAACTCAAACAAGTAATAAATGCAATAATTGCTTTCATTTGATATCCAGATATGAAGCTGCAAAAAATCAAATCATTCACTCCTCCCTCGTCAGCAAGAGTCAAATGGCACTGTTACACACTGAGCTCGCTCTTTTGGGAGACACCAGGCTGCAGTATTGGAACTAACCCTTGCATCCCACATACTTTTAATCCTACGGGGACTCAGTTTGTATCCAGACACTGTTTCAAAGTCGAGCCTTTCTGACATATTCCTGAGGTACCGTCCTCCTGTCTAGCATCACTTTCTTGGGAAGTGGGACCCTATGTTCTCCCCTATACTGAAGTCCACCAGAGCTCTACCCTTGTGGGAACTTTGGTTTATTGTTTAACCACTCAAGAAACTCATGACAGTTAAACCAGGGGAACACACAGACTTTGCCAAGGAACCTCTACACCAGACACTACTCAGACCAAGCACAAGAGTACAGATCTAGGCAAAAATAACAAACAGCTGCATGGAAAACCCCTCCCTTCAGTGTCTTCACTGCTCCAAGATCCTTTTGGGTTTTGATTAGTGACCTTTCAGGGTCCCAGGACCCCACCTGCACTCCACTCTTCCTATTGTAAGCTGATCGATGGCTGGTGAGAGAATCCTGGCTCAAGAAAATCTGGGACTTAAATAGATTCTGGCCTTCTCTGTCAGGTGCCCCCTGCCAGAGCAGCTTCAACCCTCTCCCCCTCACCCCATTAGATCAGTTGCTCGGCTCCTGCTCTCCCACCCAGCCATGTTCCCAACTGGGAAAACTAGTTTTCCTGGACTACAGCCAGCCTGTTCTAGGGTGTACTCATTTGAACGATGGACCATCAAGCCTGAGGCATGTTGATGGTTTTGCCATTGTTAGCTCCTCTGCTAGGTGTCAGGATTTCATCTAACACCTCCTAGGTGTCCAGCTCAAGATGGAGGCCACAGTGCAAAAGTGAAGGGCACAAGACAGTTCAGAAAGGTGTTTCAGATTGATATAGATGTACACAGATGTATACTAATCTGTACCTGTGACATCATGTTTGGGGTAACTTCTCTAGCAGCTAAACTGATGCATTATTTATAGTGGTCACCAAAAAAAAAAAAAAAAAAATCTAAACATATGTTACATATTTGCATAGTTTGGTTAAATTCATCCTGATCCAATTCTTATTAAAAGCTCCCCATTGAGTTCAGGGGGGCATTGGATCAGGCCCTGTATGAGTCTGAATTTCCAAAGAATCCCTTTTATTGCTAAAAGAATTAAAGAGCAATATGAGTGTGAACTTGTACTCACTCCTTATTTATCACCAAAGCAAGAGCAAGGTGAATTTTATAGCAGAGTGCAGTAGTGCTGCCTCTGTCTGGGTCTTTTCATGCTGATGCTCATGATAGCCACTTCTGATGCTATAAAATTGCTGCCTTTCCGGTTGGGTCACTGAACATTCAGGTAAGAGAGAAAGGGCCATGTGATGAAGCTCTAACTAAACTGAGGCTACGTCCTCACTACGGGGGCGGGGTCGATTTAAGATACGCAAATTCAGCTACGTGAATAGCATAGCTGAATTCGACGTATCCGAGCCGACTTACCCCGCTGTGAGGACAGTGGCAAATTGACCTCCGCGGCTCCCCCGTCGACGGCGCTTACTCCTACCTGCGCTGGTGGAGTACAAGCGTCGATTCGGGAATCGATTGTCGCGTCCCGACGAGACGCGATAATTCGATCCCCGAGAGATCGATTTTTACCCGCCGATTCAGGCGGGTAGTGAAGACGTAGCCAAAGATAAGCAAACTCAGTCTGTTTCTCATATCCAAAATGACAAATATTGATCTGGACCCTCTACCATTAGATACAGGTTACAAGAATCTTGAAGAAAGAGTTTAAGAACCCCAGACGTTAGTGCACACTGTGTGTAGCTCTTATTTCAGAGTCTATCTTGAGATACCTACAGAAATGATAAATACATAGGCTGTGGTGAACGAGATCCTTTGTTTTGTCCATCAATGTATATCTTTTTAAAATTAGAAAAACGAGATGGAGCACAAACTCTCACAAGCCTGAGACTGATAAAAACTCTTTTGTTCCCTGTATAATGGAAAATCAGTCCAAGAGTGATGTGATAATGAAATCATCATTACATGTCTTGCAATAATTTGTAATGTGAACAAGGTCAGTGTCAGCTTCAGCGGTGATATGATTTACACTCAAACACCATACATTAGAACAGAAACTAATATAATTCACACCCTTGACTGTTCTACATTTTTCATTCATTGTGATTATATATAATTTTCCTTATTTTTGTCCCCTTTTTAGATTGCATTCACTCCAAACATCCCTATACTGATCAAGTGTCTCGTTTCAAGCCCTAGGAACCTGCATTGTTAAATAGTAATGTTGTATAAGCAGCACAAAATTGGCATGTTACATGATTTTTGTAACTTACATGAAATTTGGTTTAATTTATGGATAATGTATTCACTTAATGAACAGTGTCTTATCTGTTAAGATGCAAGTTACATACTTTTCTATTTTAAAAACATCACTGCTTTCATTTCCCTGAACATAAATATTGGATCAAACATCACACTGCAGGAGAGAAAAATCAAGTGACAAAGATCAGCTTCCTAAAGTCAAATTCCAAATCAATAGCATTATTTTATGTAACATTCAAATTCATTCATACAAAAATAAACGAACGTGTGCATGCAACAGGTCATAAATGACACATTATGCATTTTCTTTCCTCTGAGGAGACCAGTAGAGTTTATGATGTAAGGGAGAGAACAGAAAGGTACTATCTTA